GGTACCTTTTTTTTGTCCCTTCTGGCTTCACTGCCGGTCATGTAGGTAGCAATGAGCTCTCAGAGCCCATTTACCCGTGTCACGTCTAAGTAGATGTTAGGTTCTTCCTGTCATGTAAAAGATTTCAAAATTCAAAATCTGTAAACAGATGTTAGACTCTACGAGTCAATTGAATAATTTATGAAATAAAAGTAAAAAGTGTCAATTAATTCCTGGCTGCTATTTCTCTTTCTGTTACTATCTAGATTATGTACGTCCAGAAAATGGCAAATGCCCTATGTGTCCCCAACTTGTCCCCATGAACCGAGTTTCTAATGATTCGGAACGAAATATCTCTAGTCAGAACAGATAGAGTTCTTATTACTACAGCCCAAGCGAAATACCTTTGTCCATAACAAGTAATTCCAAGCTTTGTAAACCTAACACCTTAAACTCTATATAGATCGCTCCCAAATTATCCACAGTTTGATAGCAGAGGTTTATTTAAGTGTAATCAGCTTTAGTTGTGTGGTCATATGATATTTGAGGACTTGGAGTTATGCAGGCATTGAAGATGATCCGTAGGTACATATACATACGATGGGCCGTCTTTCTGGTTGAACCTAGGTAGAGAACCTTAGTGATTTATTTATAATAAGAGATTGAGCCAATAACGGTTACAAAATCAAATGATTGATTTTTCCGTGCTACAAGTTCATTGAAGTACAATAATATCTACTCCTACCCCTAAAAAAACCCCTGAGCATCATCACTAGTCTGATATGTGTTGGAAATTCTCAAGGATTTCTAGGAGGAAATATCTCGAAGAATAAGTGTACAATTTCGGACAAGAAATTGTTGATAGTTTTATGGGGGATCGAACTCGCTTCTCAATATAAATTACTAATATCTAATATTCCGTAAACTTAATTTAAGATAGATAAGTAAGTCTATCCTTAAATATAGATCCTCGAGGCTTTAGTGATCTCAAACTCCCAGTGATCTAGCAACAACCAGCCACTTAACTATCGCAAGGTAGCATTTCGTAGCCACCGCATTTCAGATACCACTGAGCCTCAAGTCGCCCAGCTAAGCTTAACCAAATGCAATCGGATCAATTGAATTGATCTTGATGATAATACTTAAAAATCTAAACCTTCATATATACTAAGTCTAGATTTCCAACACACTGTCAAACCCTCATCCTTGAGAATTACTTGTGTTTTTAGAACCTGATCATTAATCTGAATATCTCGTCTTCGTCTTTGTCCGTGACATTAAGCCGGGTCGGTTCAGAGTGGCAGGAGGTCGGGGTTTGTCTTGTTAAAAGCTTTATCCCTTACCTAAGCGGCTTACCGTCTTCATGGATCTGTAGATATGTACCGCATAGGACGTTAAACTAGAGATATTCAATTCAACTAAGGAAGATGGAATTTGTCATGCGAGATATAGGTCAGAAAATGAAACATGTGAGGAGCGCTAGCATTGCATCTGATGTGGAGGAATGTCCTATTTTCATGAGTTGTTTGGATTTTACCATTCAATCTACTGATAACTTGCTGGCCATTCACCTGCATAGCATGAGTTGAGACTGTGAGTATAGATGCTCACCGGCTACATCAGTCCCGTACTCACATTGGACTTTATCAATGTAAAAATAAAAAGTATGCCGGGCCCGTATCTCGCACTAATTACGATAATAATTTAATCCTTGGCCTTCCATACGGCCTTTGCTACTTCGCACGATATTACACCAGCGAGGTGCTCTTAAGTAGATTCATGAATGCTTAGATGATTTGGATATTTATGTCACGGATCAAGGGCCGATTCTGAGTCAATAGGAACTATGTACGAAGATATGTGTGCTATTCTGCTAAATTCTATCCTAATCTGTTCTGTTCTATTCTATCTTACTCTACTTCATTTTATTTCGTTCTGTTCTGGTCTGTACTTGTCTATACTATTCTATTCTACTCCATTCTATTCTGTAAGAGGGTTAACTGAAAAGATCGAGAACAGTAGAGAGGAATGTATAATGGATAATTGGGCTGACTCTGGTTCAGTAGATTACGGTCATGTATTTCTTAGGAACTCCTTAGAAATTATTGAATCTTATCTAAAGCCAAACTCTTGAACTGTTGAACCCTTGAATTGTCAAAATTTTGACCCCTCGGAATACGAACACCTCTCGTACCCTTGACGATTCGTCCCGTTGAACAAGTAGATCGTATTGTCAAATCCAGGGTGAGTCAAACACCTCTTTGCGGTGCTCGTAAGCGAAGATGACAAAGATATGCTTATGTCTCGGTTACACTACGGTAAGTCAAGCGTAGAGGAGTTCAGGTATATTCCAGGCTCCTGTTTCGGTCCAAAGGAATATCTGATGCTTGCGCTGAGGCACCCGAAGAGGTTCCATATCAATTATTAATACAGAGTAATGTCGTGTCAGGTCGTGACTAGTCGCATGTCTCGCGAATGTACAACTGTCAAGGGGAGAAACGCGTACAGGACGTCTAGTCATACAAACACTGTAATCAAGGAGATACATGTCACTTTCTAGTATCATGTATGATTTGATCTAAACCTGTACATGGAAACTAGGTCTAGTAAAAATTTGGCTATGTGACTAAGGATCGGTTATAGTAGTGGTTATATATGGACATGATCCGGATGATTGGAGAAGCAAGGCATCATACAGAGAATATCTCACAACCAGTTTTACTCGATCGGCTTCCAGATAATCTGTACCTTGTTCTACATAAAAAACTCATATTTACTTTTAGAAGTCATTACTTCTACACGACTTACAGAACAATTGTTATCTTCATGTCGCCGGATCAATTGGTGTTGGTATACAGCAGAGCAAGTCCAGAACAAAATCGGTTAATGAACGATATCGAGAGGTGGAATGTCTCCTACATCTTGCTATTTACATACGGGATTTTAATTAACGACGCTGATCATAACAGCCTCCGTTGCTTAGCAACCGTTCCCAATCTCCACCCTTGGTAGTTTCTATAGCTGACTAGACCCTAGATTCCATCTCTACCGTACTGGCGCAGACAGTACACAAACAAGGGAGTATTCCCGTAACACTTCATCATCGTACGATACATAACCAAGTCAAACAGCTTGGCTAACCCCCGGGTTAACAACTGTTCCACGATCTTGCTCACAAAGGTCATTTGTTCCCTTTAAATCAACGCCGTCTCAACACGCATTTTTCAAAGTAAATCTTCAATGCGAGTGTCACACATTGGAACAATTATCCGGCAGCAAATGAAATGTCGATGACAAGTCAAAGCTAGGAAGGGAGGACCATTAAATTATGAGACGGGTATTCAACCTCTAGTTTATTATTCACAGACGCTGGAAGTTTCAATCTCTTCTAGAAATGGCTCGCAACAATCAGGAACCTATGATCTTTTCGCAATGCGGTGACGCTTAAGAAATTATTGCATCCAAGTTGGTTCCAAATTTAGGTTTGACGAATAAAATATGCGTATTTACTGGCATCAATGGTCTGGCAGTGTAATGATTCTCCTTCCCATCCTAACTTTAATTTATAATTTTTCCCTTCTCCTGATGTTGCTGTGACAACACTACAGTTCTTGGCACTTGCTAAATGTATGATGGCTTGTCTGCACATCACGCTCATTTACATCTAACTTTCTGCCACACTCAACACCTTCAGATCACCTCTGGTCGTCTCTAGTGCCTTTAGTCACCACTAGGATTCGCTCGAACCTTTAGTCTCTCTAGATATTTATATTACCTACAACTGGAACCTCTAGTTCCTCTAAGTGATTTCAAGTAGACCTTCAATCATCTTTTGCGTTCCATCCAACCTCTCTTCCACTACAATTACACTTCAGTCCATACGTCTTCGCTCCAATCTGACAGGCGGTCTCACAAATACGTGTCAACAAACTCGGGGATTTCTAGGTAGATTATGGGTCTGGGAATACATTAGTACTTCATTTGTAGCTAGAGAAGCGGAAGATATGCCTCAGCTACTTCATTATCTTCGCTGTACTTATCATCTTCCAATACTACTCAATTTAGATAGTTATCAAACAAGTCTCTTGCCAATCAGTTCCATATGAGAAAACTCGACATTGCGCTTTTGCCAGTCTTTCCTAAATCTTCTTACAATCCAGTTCACTCCCTACCTTTGTCAAAGATTTTATTCATGTCATCAATGTTTTGGTTCACTGACTGTCACACAAACGAGCTCTGACCTAACTAACAGGAAAGGTTCATATTAGTTTCGATAAATACAAGCGAGCTTCGGCTCTAATGTTTTCAGAATTCTCTTGTACATGATTGCGAGCAGAACTCTCTCCGAAAGTAATTTCAGTCGGAAATCTTGGTATATCTAGTGTCCGTATGTTCCAACCTGATCAAAGTAGCTACATGTCACCAATATTTTTCTGGTCATAGTTCAAGCTTATCGATGAGTCAATTAAATTTACGACCTTCCAATTTTTGATCAAACATCAAAGTATCGGTATCGCCGGATCAATTGATGTTGGTGTACAGCAGAGCAAGTCCAGAATAAAATCAGGTAATTATTGCAGTTTAGGTGAAGATTTCATACTTCTCGCTGTTTAGGTAGGGAATTGTAATTATCAGCGCCGATCATAACAAAGGTTGCTAAGTAACCACATCCAGACTGCAACATTGGTAGCGCCCGTAGCTAGCTAGGCCCTATATTACATCCCTGCCGTACTGGCGTAGACAGTACAAACCCAAGGGATGGATCCCGTAACGATCAGGAACTAATCAAAATAAATTCGCGACCGAATCTTATCTGATTGATATTTATAATTGTTTGAATTGCGTTTTGTTGACTTCTCTTCTAAATGACCCTTAAGCATCGATTTCAATCGTAAAGAGTGCTTTGTCAGTGTCTCAACTTCGTCTCTACTGCCATTCCCAAGTACTACCCAAAACTGCTTTCGATTTTGCGATCGACCGGAAAATAAAAGAACGACGAGTATATCAAAACTACAATTAACTTACGACTTTAGATGCAGAATTGTATTTTCGAATGTCTCGATTATTGGACCATATTGAGTGTCAGGATCAGGAGCGGTACCCGTTGTGAATTCTTTATCCTTATAGAATAAGGTATTCCAGAAAGTCCAAACAAGGATTTTGATATCTTCAAAATCCGGTGAAATCCTTTTCATGACTTTCTCTCCGAATGTACCTTTCTTCATTTGGGTCTCCTTATTCGAGTAAATCTCCTCGGCAGCCCCAGAATACCACTTTCTTAAAAAGGCCGAGTGCGGTGACTTATTGTCCGGCCAATGAGATTGTATGCAAATCCACAATAGGACGTAAAAAATCGACTCAAGATCATGGCGGTACGAGTGTGACACTACGGCATCTGTTAGTGCAAAGCTGTTCTGAAGAATTTCCAATGCCATGAATTGAATTTTGCCCGTCATCGCTTCTAGTTTTCCTTGTGCTTCACCTCCCTTGAATAGAATGGCCAGGTCAAGATCAATGAGTATGCCACCATAATCCTTAGGGCCTTCACAGTGCTTAAGAAGGATGTTGTTCACCGATATATCTCGATGTAATATATTGGCATCAAAAAGTAGTAACCTATGCGCCTTGATAGCGTCGTATAACCCGATTATCATTTCAAGTGGCGTGTCGAACTTACTAATTGATTTCCCGAATGGCGATATAGCGACCGCTGCTTGTTGGCGCTTCCGTATTTCAACATATTTTACCGTTTCTATTTTGAGGTCAGATGGGATGAAATCACCCTTAGACAACGACAACGATTCTTCACTTTGGCTGGAAATACTTGAGTGGTTGTAATCAGTCCCATGAGAGTTTCTTGGTTTTTCAACAACACCTCTTTTGACCTCTACTGATTTGCCAGAAAAGTGGACTGTTTTCAATCGTTCGTTGACATCAATGCTTTCATGGCATTTCCGCTTCACGCCGATAGATTGACTCGTTTGCAGCTCCTCTAAGCGGCTGCTACGTCGCTGTGTATTTTGAGGAATAATAAGGTTACCATCGGCTGACAAAGTGGTTTCCGAGCTCAGCGCCATTTCAATTGACTGCGATCTAATTTCAACCACAGGAACGCTTCGAGGTTTTTCTGACACGGTAAAGACATTACTGTGTACTTTGGATTCAATATCATGAATCTTCTTCCTTTTTGATCCACTTCTTGTCCATTTACCTATCGTTTCAACTTCATCCCCATCCTTCTGTGATTCACTCTTCCGCTTTCGGGATTCAGCTTTGCTTGTACTCTTCAACACTTGGATAGACTTCCCACTTAAAACAACTGGTGTAGTTAATACCTTTTCAGCCGGTCGTGTGAATGTCACCATTTGGTGAGTAAATTGAAGTCCCGTTCGGAGAGTGCTTATTTGTACCAAGTCACGCCATCCCTCAAGCTTAGCCATTCCAACGACATCCTCTGCAATCTGGAGCAAGTCTACCTCAGATGTGCCCCCGCATATCTTCCATGAGAATTTCACCACAAAGCTTTTTTCCAAAGAGGAATAAACTGTGGTGTCCCTAGAGACAAACGCCGACTGAATTACTAACGGCTTCAAGTCAAGAACGAGCTCCCGCATTTCAACTGGCCCCAGAACCTTTATCTTGATGATGAATTTGTCGCCGTCATATCGGATTTTTGGGTCGATTCCATGCTCTTTATCACTCATCAACATGTAAGCTGCCAGCACGTGAACCAATTTTTTCTGTGATTTCCCAACATCAATGATAGACTCACAATACGGTCCCGATCGATCAAATACCCAAAGCTGGAGTTGTGTCCCGAATAGTATGAATCCGTGTACAAAATTTCGAAGAGGCTGTGCCAAGAACACTTCACTCATGTAGACACAAAGCTGGAGAAACTTATCCAGAAAAGCCGAAGTTGGTAGTTTGGTCAACTCTCCAACCACAAGTATATCACGCCAGTGATGACGGTCGCTGTTGGGTAGATCACTTCGTTTGATAAAATAATCAAGTTGTCTATCGGTTTGACCTCCCTCTATTTGTCCTTTAGCGAGCGTATGACATTGCGTTGCTTCAATGGCGTGCATGTATCTACATTTAGATAGTCTTGTTTTCTCGATCGCTGCTTTGCTTGAAGTATAATTGAAAGGTTTAATTATCTCGTCTTCCACAGCCTTCATCCACTTCCATACGTCTGATTCAGCTGTATTTTGTGGAAACTTCAATTTTGCTTCTCCTGAGCGGGCCTCGTATTCCTTCGACAACAGTACACAGTGCTTCGACCACTTCGGCGTTACGAAGTATTTTTTCCAGAATCCTTTGACATCCATGAAAACTGACCCAGACAGCTCATGACGCATCGATTCCTTAAGTTCTTCCATCGTCTTTTCGGCTCGATGGTGTGCTCCAACGCGCCTAAATATAGAGTTTGCAACGAGCTTATTTGATTGATTGTCGCTTTCTTTTATGCTTAACTCGAGCGTGTCAACGAGCTGCATTAGAGATTGCCAAACCTTCAGGTCGGGAGCATGGTCTAAAATTAATTTAGCGATTGGCTCGAATGGAGCCAAGTCGAACGGTGTTGCCTCCATCCAGCTGCATATTGAAGACATTCGAGTGTAGAGATTTGCATACTCCGAATATTCAAAATTCCCTAGATGGACGTGATGGCTTAACTGACCAACTAAGTTTATGAGTGGAGTCCGTGATACAACCTGACCGATAGGATTTCCAAAGAATTTGTCACCTGAAACGGTAAAGTTTACGGAGTACATAATTCTGAAAGCCTCAAAAATTCTGGTGAGTGGCTTCCTCTGCAAGTATCCCACCATATCAGCGGTTAGAGGCATTTTCCTGTGATAGAGTTTGTAAAGGTATTTATATGAGTCTTTAGATAATGGTGGAAGGTGTGACGGGTAAATCTGAGTTGATATACGATATGTGATAAGTATTTGACTTCTTTATGATAAGGCGTCAAATTTGCTTCTAAGCAGCACAAATTTGAAGCATTTTACTTTGGTTTATTCCTAGTTTGAACATATTCTGCATTTTTGGTAATCGACCCATGGATTGTTTATGCGGTTTTCGAGCGACAAGAGTGAGATATAACTTCCATGGATTGGTTAGCGGTGGCATCCCTGCTGTTAATTATTACTTCGCTAGCATTTTTGAAGTTCGACTTATGTCCGTTGAATGATTAGGTTAAGTTGAAAAGCAGAGTTGATATTATTGTTGATGTGTAATATTCCGCCCAACCGTAGATCTCACATTAGATCCCTTGGAGTGGCCAATGCACTGCGCCCAATGATAAAAAATGATTCTCACAGTGATCTGCACTGTCACATAAAAGTTGATTGACTCATATGAATGAAGCAGTAATATCCTGCTCCCAGAGGACAAGACTAAACAGCTGTACGCGGTGTCCTCTACGAACCTGGGAGTGGAATATTCTCCCAGAGCCGAGTTCAGTCAAATTTCGCCATACCAATAAAGTTGGCCCACAAGGCAATGATTCAAAATACCCCACCATGTCAATCTTTCACTCCCAACGAAATCGATTCCTACCTAAGCCTCATCAAATCTACAAGTACGACCAATTATATCATCCCAATGACCACAACTCTCCTCGACCTTCTCTGGCCTCAGCTCGTCATCAAATACACGCCCAAGCCAATTTTTATACCCGACGGTGAAAGCAAAGCGTGGTGCACAAATCTGGCAGACTGTTCTTTGGGATGGCCGTGAGAGGGGTAAGGACAAGTTCACAAAATGGTGCAGAGGATGGATATAGTTTCGACGGGCGTGAAATCTCGAATTTTGGCAAGGAGTTTTTACAAATTGAGCTTTGTGCGTGCCAAGACTTCGGTTGCGAGAGTGCAGGCGACACTGTAACCATAGCCATGGTTGGATGGTGCGGTGGTACATCGTCTTAGCCGGTCTGCCAAGTAGAGTCTGGATAGCTTGGACATATATCCCACTTGAGACAGTAGATCGCTGGTTCAAATCCAGCAAAACACAAGTACATTTCTCGCGGCACTAGTATGCATGGATGACGAAGGCATGCTTGGATAACCAAAGGTTTTTAATTTCCCTTTGGTGGGTACTAACGGAGGAGGGTCGACTGTTTGTGTAAGCAAACATACCTCATAGTGGTATTTGCAAATGAAATCCAGAGTATGAGTGTCTTTAACGTCAAAAGAGTCATCCCACATGTATACATAGCACCGATCATGTGTCATAGCTCTATAGCAGAATACACATTAAATGAATTTAAAAAAAATCCTGCTCCCATCAGCTGCGATGAAAATTTAAAAAGTGACTCTACAAAAACCCGAGTATCGACTTTCGCGTCGAAGCTTCCGCACCACATTTCGTGTTGGCGCACAAGTTACCCAATTTTAAAATAATTTAATGCTGATCAGGCTTTAATTCTCACATCACCACTTGCCGCGCGGCATTGCATATGTAGAATTACTTGATCAGTTTGCGACAAGTCTTTTCGAATTACCAAGTTTGTCTTTTTGTAGAAAATTTAGGAATTTTACATGCTTAAGCCGATTATTATTATTTGAAATTGATTTCATGTTCCTAATTTGGCGCCCTATGGGCCCATGCAGGTATCTACATTCTATAATATTTATCCGGGAGGATACTTTTATGTTGAAAACCTCCCACATCTTTCTATTTATTGTCTATATAGTTCTCACGTAATTTCTTCAGGAAGCGCAGTTAAACTATAGTGCCATCCATGTGAACTATCCAGTTCAACGATTTAAAAAAAAAAATAACCAGATCATCTCTATCCTCCCCAAGCATTATTTGACCTTTTCCTTTCCCTCAGCAGTATTTCGACCGCTTTTGTCATCTGGAATTGCTCTATCCAACCATGGTTTAGGATCCACTGTGTTATCCTTTCTATATCTCCAGGATTATTTATCATCGCTTCGTAGGATCGATCTTTGGCTTGTCTCCAGATCTCAGCTCTACCATTTGACCATCGGGGGCAGGACATAATCATGTGCTTGGGGTTCTGTGATTGGTAGCCGCATAGACAACCTGGACTTAATACTCCGAGTACGTTTCTTCTGTGTAAATACGAGTTAAGCCCCATGTGCTCACTTCGTATTTGCATTGCCAAACTGCTTTGGGCCCTTGTCAGGTTACGGTGTAGGAAGAATGGTGAGCCTTGAAAACTCGGTTTTTGCCGTCCAGACTCTCTGCTTTGGTAAAATGTGGCTGCTCTCCAAGTTTCGGAATCTGCAGTTTCTAGCTGCCGAGGCTTCTGAATTTGTTTCTGCTTGGGGATTATTATTATTATTATTAACTCATTTTATTGTCCTGTCTGAGTCTATGACTATATAGGACATGCAGGTCCTCTCTGCCTACAGGCCATAGATACCTATGCCAGTAGTGTATCCCCTCCTGTGCCTCCCATACAGCTCCCTTCAAACAGTACCGCCCCTCAAAAGTCCTCGCTCGATCATACACTTAGAGGAGCCTTTTGCTCTTCATTATCTCCCCTCTCCAGCGAACAAAGCGATGGCTATTTGCGGGTGCATGGTAGCTGGAAATAAAAAGTCGCAAAAATCACTGGGTGCGGAGCTCTCCTAATACCGACATTAGGTCTAAATCCGAAGACATAGTGACCCTTCCGAAGCGTTCGAGGAAGCCGGCCAGCTGGGCGCTGCAGACTTGCGGGTATCTTGAAGAATTCACTCTCTGCCTATCTTGACTCCTTCCAACTTCTTCCCGAAGGTCGTGCTGAAATGTCAGAAAAGTCTTGACAGTGCGTGATTGCTGTATGGCAGCTTAGCCCAACTTCTTTTGTGCCGTTCAGGGCGCTAGGGAGTGCCGTTGACTCATCGACGAAAGAAGCCCTCCTGGCTAATTAGCCGAAATCTTAGTCTTAGCGCCCACATAAAATCCATAGTTGAAAACTCCTCGAAAATGTCAGTCCCAGCATGGTCTTCAGAGACCTCTTCACCTCTCGCTCTGCATCTCAGCCGCCTGTCCTTCCTCAAGATCAATAATCCCATTATAGCAAACAGTCCCCCATAAGCCACGACCCAGGCTCTGTATTTTTCGACTTGATTTCCGCTTTGCGGGTACACGGAGCGTCGTAAACTTGTAATTAGAGATGGCTGGAAATTAATGGGGCAAGCTCCTATTTGCAATTGGAGCAACTTCTTTATTGGTCGTTGAGGCGAGATGATGCGTGGTTAGAAAGAGGTTGAGGACTCAGATGAGAATGATCAGAGAGGCATTATGGAGAAGTCGTCAAATAGAGATATGCATGAGATTGCTTTCGACTTCGATTCGGATGCGATTCTTCTTGGCTATCCCAGATATGCAGAGCATACTGAGCGATTGCTTAAGCCGATAATAAGCTTTTATTCACAAAACCATATTTTTGTGCAACAAGGTGTGTGCATGCCGGTGACTTCAATCGCTGTAAGCGCTGCATTAGTATTCATCTCAATTCACGCTTCATTGCCACCTCGGGCAATACCAGGCACAGGTCCACAGAGCATAGAATCCTAGTCCCAGCATATCTTGGGCTCTCGCTTCCGCGGAGGGAGTTCACGCATTTAATAACTGGGTGCGTGTCACAAATTTCTTTGGATAGCACAACAAGTCTGACCGAAAGGGAATCACGTGATTCAACTAAGTTCCCTCCTCCATATTGTTTATATAATCTATTCTTCATTCGATACCATCTGAATACATGAGAGCTAAAGGGAGACCGGTAACCATGTATAATTTAATCTTCAAGTGCAGGATGATGAGATCCTGGCTTTCATTTGCTTTGTTGGGTTTGTTCAGGCGCCAACACGTCGGGTAATTTTATTTAGACTGAGCTAACCGGCACGTGAGGAGCTCACGTGCTGTGCGCGGGCACGACGTTAAGTATTACAAATAAATAAATCTCGATTCACGTTAATTACTGAGATTTACAGGGGGACTATTCTCAAAACCTGTCAGTGGTGTCCCCTACGAACCTCCAGCTCTCACTGTAGAGTCTGCAGAGCCGAGATTGAGTGACAAAGTCCTCACTTCGACGAGGATTCCAAATCGCTTTCGCCGTCTGTAATGTCTTAATCATTCAACAACTCCCTATCACCATAAAAATGAGGCTAACCACGATCAGATCAGATGGTAGGGTCGGAGCCCTACTCGTCACCAACCCTTGATCATGAAGGAAAAGCCATCCGATGAGTTTCCGGAGCGTACCCAGTACCCGACACGGAGATGGTGGATTGGATCGAGTCGGCCTCGACTGTTACAAAGAAGGGAGATATAGATGAATATGCGCACCTCATGTGGTCCCAGTGTCTAGGCCTCGACTGGCTGGAGCTACAGGTTTTTTGAGACTTTTTCTCACGCACGCAGTTTCCATTGCTACAATTTTGTTCTCTTGTTTTGGCCAGAAAGTTTCATGGAAAATGTGGCTGAATTCTACGGGTAAGTACTGAGCTGAATGGCTATTCATCACGGGAATTATACCAATTATCTTACAAGTAACAAAAAAGGATAGAAGCACAGTACAAATTGTGGCCTAGGTCAGAGAGGTGCCCAATGTGCCCAATAGACTATGTCTCAAGTAGTGCAATAAACATACCTCTCTCTCACACCAGTGAATGTCCAACACATCTCTTTGTCTAATCGAGAAAGGTAATATGTGAGAGATGCTTGTGCCAATTTTTCTTTTTGCATCAGATTTTAATTGGGAATGAATCTAACTAGCGATGACACAATATCGGAGAAAAGGTACAGAAAAGTTGACTTAATATACAAGAGCACTCATGCTTCGTATTTCATTTGCAAATACCACTGCGAAATTATGGTGGCT